AACAATATTTAATAAAAATATTAAACACCAATGATTATGAGAATCTCAAATAATTAAACACGTTCAACAAACAGCAATCTAAATACTATTCCTATAACATATCAAAAAAAAATTCCATTCCATTATTAATTATATTAAATTCCACGCCGAACCATAACATCTTTGGGAAACCCGCCCACCGAACCATGGTTAACTATTTATTACACTTTCCTTTAATGCGCTACAAACAGTTTGCTATCGTTTTGTATCCCATTACCCAATAAGTTGTCAACACTTTTTCAATCAACGTATTTATCTATTACTAGATGTCTGTTAATTTTCCCGAAGTAACTTTTATATTGTTTGATACAGTACCCCATAAATTGATTGGGTTGTCATGTTCTCAACTACTAAACAAACAAGGCAACGATCGGAAAATAATCCCAAATTTTTTGAATAAACTATATAGATAGACATGCGTTTTCAAAATCAATATGAGGATTATCGATGTGAAGGAACCATCCGAATTTTATACTATGACAAAAATTCTCACATAAAAAATTAGTTCAAATTTATTCAATCTGTTTGTTTCCTATTTCTATTTAGATAAAACAAATCAAGATATATTCTAATGTAAAAGTAACAAAATTTTAATTATAAGACTAAAATACTGGATAAAACATAAACAATATTTAATATTTTAATAGATATTTAATAACAATATTAGACAAAATTGTTTATAAAAATGTTAAAAAATTAAACATATTCAACAAACATCAATCTAAATATATTATAATCTTAATTAAAAAAAAAAAACTATAAATAACCATTTCTATTACAAATTTAAAAAAACTTTTGTAGAATTATTGATTAAACAAGACTGAAGTTGAACTATATGCATGTTTCATAACCATATTGCCGAACCACAATTAAAAAATTAATAAATATATTATGACATCATTGTATCATCTCTAACTTGGATACTTAACAAAATATTTATTACCCTTCCTTTAAAAATGTATCAACAAGATTTTATTATTAGTAAATCACAGTGTTTATTTATTATAATATCTCAACATCTTGCCAAACCATCATTAACTACGTAACTAATATGTTGCACACTTAACAAAATATTTATTACGGTTTTCTTTAATATTGTACAGATAGTCTACTAACGTTTCGTATTACCTTATCTAAACAATTATTAACACTTTTTCGATTGACACATTTATTTATTACCAGTTGTCTGTTGTAACAACTGCTGTAAACTAGTACAATGCATGCATAATAATAATAGAAAATGGGCCCAAAACTTTCTTTTTATTATATGTACTAAGTCTTTTATACACAAGGAGCATTATTTACAAAATGCCATTTAAAAAGACAAAAACAAGGGAAACAGTGTAGCTATTGCTCCTCGCTTGCCGACGCCCCTCCGACTGCATTATCACCTAGATCCTGCATTCACAAAGGAAAATAACGGGGTGAGCACAAAATAATGCTCAGTAAGTAAACCCTCTATCTATCTATCCCCGTAAGTATTTCTCTTAATTCTTTCCTCACACTTTCTTTCTATTGTTTTCTACTAATCATCATGGCCTCATCTTACCAGAGGTACAGCCAGATGGCGTTCACACAGCGCCATCACACTCTTTATGACTGTCGGGTGGAGTTCACACAGCACCAACCTGCTCTCAATGACTACCGAGTGGGGATCACAAAGCACCTATCCGGTTTCTCATGACTTTCAGGTGATGATCACAAAGCATCAACCCGTTTCTAATAACTATCGGGTGACGATCACAAAGCATAAACCCGTTTCTCATGACTTTCGGATGATGATCACAAAGCATCAATCCGTTTCTAATAACTATCGGGTGACAATCACAAAGCATCAACCCGTTTCTCATACCCTTCTCATAGCACTTCTCATTCTCTCTACCCTTAGAGTAGTTGCATTCACAAAGTTCTCTACTCATAGAGCAAGTGCCTACACAAAGTTTTCTACTCTTTCTTAAGTCAATTAATGCATATGGATGGTTCATGCTCATTAATGCACTTAGGAAATGCCAATATACAATGTTGCAATAATTAAGGTTCACTACTCATACTTAAACCTCTATTAGGCATTTCATCAAACAACTCAAGTGCATAATAAAAGTCTACTATAACAATAATTCTATGTCTTTCTCTAACCATCCAAAATGGGAGAAAACTCCCTCACATAGCCATAATTCCTGCCAAAGAATAACACTTCAAAAAAAGGATTTCTCAATATCCATCAATTCCATCTCAAACTACCTTTCCAACCCACATCTCACTTCTTATACTTGAAATGTATGAACAATCACAAGGCAATAATAATCTCCATTTGAGACTCAATAACATAGCATATAACATGTATACAGCATACATACATATTTGCTATTAAAACCCTAATCAAGAAAATTCTCAAATCTCCACTTGGGTTGGGATTTACTTACTTTGATATGGAGAGATCTCACTAGCACTTCCTTTCTCTTGGTTTGCTTGATTTTTCTCTACCCTTAAACAATTCAACCAAAGGCCCTCAATATTCAAATAAACTCAAATTTCACAAAACTTCACATCCAAAGCAAGAATCCTTACCTTAGGATGCCTTAGATTGCTTTCCTACCCCAAATCACTCCAAAAGCCCTCTTAAAAACCTTGAACAAAAGAAAGAGAAATTGAGAGGAAGTAAGAAGGGAGAGTGGCGATGGAGAAGAAGAATGAAGGGTTTGCAATGACTTAATTCCTTTTAACACACTTTATGCACAAGCCTTCCCATTTTGCCCTTACTCTTCCTTAGGAACTCCATCTATATCCTTTGATTCATTACAAACACACCCCCACATTAACATATTCTCCATGAAAAGTCCTTTCAATTTACTCCCCACTTTTCCTACTAATTAGGGGTAGAATGGTCAAATTGCCCCTAGGGAAGAAAATATCTAAAACTTAACAACAATTTGGTCGGCACGTCGCCACGGCGAGGAAGCTTCTGTCGCTGCGGCAAAACTGTCCAGCAGCTTCCCCGTGGCTTCAACACCTCTTCGCTGCGGCGAAGATTCTCCTTTGCCCCGGCGAAGCCTAGAACACAAAACTTCCTTTATTTTCAACCAATTTCAAGGCAAAAGTTCAACATAACACTCAATCGAAGGCCAACCAAACAATAATACTAATAAATCAACTCAAAAAGAGCAAAAGAAGAAGCATTAACTACGTACCTCAAGTGGGGCATTACATCTGTTCAGATTCCACCTCTTCATATCCTATTCTCCTATAAATATTACTCTGACATCAATCACCTATTTAACTTTCTTTAGATACTATACACTTTAATTGTTCATTCTTCTCCACAACTTAATTCGAAAATGGCTAACAAAACATCACAACCAAAAGAATTTGCAACGAATATCAGCAACGACCTCATCAACAATAATTCTCCACCAAGGCAACTAGAAGGTATGAATGTTCCACATCTTTTGTATCCTAAATTACAAAATGCTAAACCAAACAATAATACATATTTGTGGGAATATAAAAACCATAAAAAAAAAAGTTTTTAATATGTCGAGAATTCATCTCATAATTATATTTACAGACTCATGTTACCGTTTCCATATATTTATAAAACTTGATTGTATATTTTTTTTGCAATTGGTTTAGACATTTTTCAGGGAATGCCGGAATTAATGGAAATTTTCAAAAAAGTTGACACCAATCTGGATGATCTACATACTGCTAGAGACAAATTCAGAGAAGTCATTGAACAGATGTTAGAAATCATGCAATCTGCCATGAATATTAACTATAACATAAACAAAAGAAAGTATACATATGCATTACAAAAACTGAACAACTATAAGAGAAATAGAAAATAAACACCATCTACATCATCTAAACCCACTTCACAGTATGAAAAACCGATGTACTTATTTCTTTTATAATAAAAGTATTATTCTCTATGTTCAACTTTATCTTGATTTTGATGTTACTCATTAATTAATTGAAAATTGTTCCTTTAATTGACGCATTGCATTTACTATTTAATGAATCTACTAAAAATTCTCCATCTTGACACGTTGGTTTTGATTTAATTCTTCCATCTTCACACATTGAATGGACATTAACAATAATTATATAACTACATTACATAGGCATTCCAAAAATCTAACCATTTTAAATAAAAACATAAAAAGATTGAAGTTAGTCTCTTCATATTCTATTTTGTAGTTCTACAATTATTAACCTAGAAATTAATTGAGTTATCATGTTCTTAAATGTAAAACAAACAAAGCCTTTGAATGAACTGTGTGAACAAATGTTTGTTTTCAAACCTTGGCTAGAGATTACTAATTTTAAAGAAATATATGAATCCTATACTGTGAGAAAAAAATTGATCAGTCGATGTCAAACTTGAAAATGAATATAACTTACAGAAATTGCAAAAGCTCAATATAAATTTTAAGTTTAAATAATTGATTTTGATATTATTAATTTTATCTTAACACAACTCTGTAAATATATAGAATTTATATTTACTCTAAAACTTGTAAAATTTAACAATTATCATCTCTTAATCTAATTACTTTATTCTGTTAGAATAAATTTGTTTACAACTTATTTCAAAAACATTAAATAAACATACTCGCGTAAAGAAAAGGCCCCATGTCTAGTTATTAAATATAATTATAAATTGAAGTTGCTTGTCTTATTGTATTGGGTAAATTAATATTTGAATTTTAAGGTGCACAAATATTTAAAGTTTATCAAATTTTATGGATAATTATTTATCTTCATATTATGTTTGACATAAATTTGAAAAGAAAGAGTAATGTACATTATTGTAATATTAAAATAATATAAGAAAATGATCAAAGTCATAATAGGAAAGACAAGGTAACGGTTTATACACACACACATACATACATACACACACACACATAGCCAGTTACAAAGAGGAAACGGTCCGACGTACTCCAGCTCAAGTTACAAACTTGATGACCTTCAAATGGCTCAAGTTGCCTAAAGGATTGTAAACGGGAATTCATTCCTTGAAAGTCATACATTCGCACCGTATAGTCATAACTACCGGAGAGAACTCTAGACCCAGAGTGATCAACTGCAAGAGCTGAAACAACCTGACAAAACACACAACATTAAATTAATCCCTTTAAAATCCAAACCCTAATTACACTTCAAGAGAAATGAACTTACAAAATTAAAACACAACAAACAATTTAAACACGGATTAGGATACAAAAATAGTACCTTAGTATGACCCTTCAGTACAATCTCGTTACTCATCGGAATCCGATACCGATTCTCCCCTTCCTCTTCCTCCTCCTCTTCATCGTCCGTCTCCGATGCCACGGGAGGCCGCGGTGGCCCAATCATCACAACTCCATCATCATCCTCCGTTTCCACAGGCTGAGGAGGCCGTGGGGGCCCAATCATCACGTCATCGTCATCTTCCTCCGCTTTCGGCGGCTCAGGAGGCGGTGGGGGCCCAACTTTTGGCGCCTCCGAAGCTTTAGGTTTTCGGAGAGAGTCAAGCCAAGCTCTGGGGGAGGATGAGAGAGACGGTAGGTCATTAGTCTTGGAGGCAGCTGTGCTGGTGGTGGTGGTGGTGGAAGGCGGTTGTTCCGATCGGCGAGTGGCGTCGTGGACTTTTTCGAGAGAGGTTTGGGGTTTTGATTGTTTGCCAAACGCGAGCGGGAACTGAGCTCTGATTCCGTCGTATATCTCTGCCTCGTCTTCCATTCTTGGCTATGTTGCGATATTTATGAGTGGGTTATTTTTCAATTTGTGGACAATTNACATATATATATATATATATATACATATATATGTATATATATATATATATGTATGTATGTATGTATATATATGTATGTATGTATGTATGTATATATATATATATATACTTCAGCCTTGATGAGATAACAAATATTGAAGAGATTTAATTGCACGGTAACTATACTGTTGACAAATATATGTCTTCCATTGACTCCTTGTCATTTGGGTGGCCAAATTGCCTTGCTAGAGGCAAATATTGGTCTGTGAATAGAGAGATGATTAATTATAAATAAATCACGATTCTATTTGCTGCGAACATGATTGAAAACCTACCAGTCACACATAAAAGAATGTTGAATTCCAAGGGTTTATCGAGTGAATTGTCTTATTTTCAAAATTTTAGGCTACATTTGGTACACTTTTTGTAATAGAATTGCTAAAATCCTATTCTGAATATATTTTAGGATATGATTCTGAGAATGTGTTTGGTACATTATTGGAGAACATTTTCTGAAAATATTTAGATTATTTTTTAACCCCCTACATTTGTTAATTTAGCTAAACACCCCCCACAATAAAAGTTTATGAATTAACAAAAACACCTCCACTCAACCAATCGACTGTCGGAAGCCAGCCACCACCGTCAGATGGTGGCAGTGAGTTGCCAAAATGGCACACGGCTGGCTGGATCTGCCAATCATGCGCCGATCTTGCCTTTTTTTACCAGATTCATCGTGGATCTAGCCAGAAAAGGTCAGATCTACATCCAGAATCTAGTCGTCAATGACGGCATCGATCTGACCATTTTTGGCTAGATCCACAGTGGTTCTAGTCAAAAAAGGCAAGATCGATGCATGACCGACTAGAACCAACCGGTCGTGTGTCATTCCGGCAGTGTCTGTTGGCGAGTGATAGTGGCTTGTGTGGGTGGGGGCTTTTTTGTTAATTTATAAACTTTTATTATAAAAGGTAATTGTTAAATGTTTCGAGTTAAATAGAATATGATTGGACTTTGAATTGAATGGTCAAAATATTAAAAAAAACACATTTTTCACTGGATTGGATAGGATAGTAGAATAAAATAGAGTATAAAAAGTGTACCAAACGCAACCTTAGATATCACGTCTAGAATCAGTAAAAACAGTTTTGATCTCTTTAATAAATTGAGTTGAGAGAGATGATTTAGGGGTTTTTAGTGAAAGGGACCTTTTGGTAATTTTATCATAAGGGTCCTTTTCATAATTTTATAGAGTAATTAAGTGAGTATAAATTACCCACTTAATATAGGGTTACCACCTAGTGCTATTCATTAAGGGAAAAGGTTTAAAATTATTTTATATTAAACCCTAACCTTGAAAGAAAAACTGATTTTCATAATTCTAAAATCAATCTAGCAATTGATTTTTCCTTTTTGATCCTTTGGCGTCTTTATGTGGACAAGTTCGTGTAATCCTACACCCAGGGGCGGACCCGAGCCTACCCTCAAATAAGTAAATAAAAATTTAAAAAATTTTATTTTTCATTTTATGGGATAACCAAATAATGAGTGTGAACAATCCAAGAACAGAGGGCATTGTCATTTTTCACTACCAAATATTATGCAACAAAAACCACCCCAACTTTAATGATGCAAAAATGCCTCTGCAATACACCATCTCTTCCTCCTAACTTAGAAGCTTTTGCAGGAACAATTTAAGTACTCATTCCTAGCAATGATGTCCTTTGAAATTTAGTAAAAACATTCAGCTTCGACAATAATTCTCCTGAAGTTTTACATATTATCGTAAAGTTCTCCTAAAATTCATCAAGAGTAAACTTTATAACTCATACAGAGTAAAATTAATCAAAAACCACTTCTACAAGTGACCTTTACCAATTTTCTGAAATAAAAAAAAGGCAAAAACTCATACAAATAATTGAAAGAATGATCATTCTTTCAAAACCAATAATTGTCAATTTTGTGCAACTATACAAGACTTAACCTCTGAACACAAACTCATGCTCGCTCTTCTCTTCAACTTCAACCTCTGAATTCTAAGGTATTCACTCTTTTCAACTGTTTCTTGCATGTTTGGTTAACGAGAAAATGAGGTTGATTTTTCTACTTTTTTTCTTTTAATGTGTTAGGTTATTTTATTTTATTTTTGTGCTTTGAATTCTTAGTTATTTTTTGTTTGACTTTTGTTGTGTATTTCCTTGATGAGAAAATGAGACAAAGCTTTGTTCATTATTTTCTTTTTACTGTCTTTATCTTTCGTAATTTTCTTTGAATTCTACGGTTTTTATTTTTTTTTATTAAGTTGTTTTTAGTCTGTTAGGTTGATGAGAAAATGATGCTAAGTTTTGTTCACTTTTTTTACAGTCTTTTTGTTTTGTATTTTGCTCTGAATACTACGGTTTTTTTATTTTAATTTATTAAGGTGTTTTTAGTCGGTTAGATTGATGAGAAAATGAGGCAAACGTTTGTTGTTTTTTTACCTCCTTTTCGTTTGGTAATATTGCTCTAAATTCTAATTTTTTTTATTTAAGTATATTTTTTGTAGTATGTTTGGCTAATGAGCAAATGAGGCAAAGTTTTGTTAAATTTTTAATCTTGGTGGTTGAGTTTTGATTTTAATAGTCGGATTTGGAGTTATATAGCTTAAAGTTTGACTGCTTCTCTGGTGATTTTAATTTATTTCTTTGTAAACATTTATGTATTTTACTTGTGTTAGAGTTGTGATTGGACTCCAAATTTGTATGGAATATTTTTGGTGGATTGTGATTGTTGTGAACTCTTTTGATTATATTGGATTTAAGTGGATTATTAGATTCTCGTGGTTTTTTGCTCTCTTCACATTTAAGAGGTTTTTCCACATCAAAATTTTCTTGTGTTTTCTTGTGAGTTGGATGTGATTTTTAACATATTTGCTCAAGATTTTGCTTCTCATAGATTTATTTAAGGATGAAAATATTGTGTTATTACACCATTTCATTTCAGCTTTTTGATATTATATTATTTTCTTTGTTTAAGATTTGGTGGTTTTTTTTAAGTTTTCACTAGTTGGTTAACAAACAATGACGGAAACGTGGAGGCCCCCCTCAACAAAAATCCTGGGTTCGCCACTGCCTACACCTGGATTGATTTGTGGAAGAATAAATTAAAGTGAAGGAGCCTCCAACGATAGTAAGTTCATTAAACCTTGTATGAATTTATTAATTAGATACATATAATCATAACCCTAATCTTAGGTTTATAAGCATTGAGATTAAAATTTTGTTTTATATTTCCTTGGGTAAATCCCATATTTCCTTACAGGCTAGTTGGACAAAAGGATTTATAGCTAAACTCAGCCGAATCAACCTGATAGTTGGTGTTGGTCGAAATTTGATTCATTACACTTAATGAATTCTAGCAAAATGATTCCAAAACCTTGGAATTCGGCCGATTTCGGCCAGTACTTGACATGGTCTAAAATTTTAGGAAATCTAATCTAAGTGTTTTGTATTTCTTTTTTTTTCTTTTTTTTCTGAGAAATGAGAGACATAACTCGAATTCTTGCAAAGTGTGAAGGATGGTGGGAGTGCCAAATACCTTCACATTTGAACCATGAAGGCCTACTCAAGTTGTTACATGAAGAATTATTTATCGACAACAGTTGATATACGTTGAAGCTGATCATGAAGTACGCCACTCATAGATATGATGAGCCCCTTGAAATCAATGATGACAAAGAGTTTGCATTTTTCACTGACATGAAATTGGAAGAGCCCACCAAATACCTTTCGTTGCATGTTACAATGACTGATGTACCCTTTTTCTCAATTTCCAGTAGCAATCACATTTATAATAACCAAGGTAACCCAATAATGAATGAAGGAGTCGGTAATGAAGTTATTGATCGGTTTGAGGAGACAGAGCATGTGGAACATGGTTATGTAGGTGATCTCTATCTGTATGAGTATGATAATGCTCCAGGGTTGGATGATTTGAAAACGGGGATGTAAGATATGCATAATGATAGAGGAGTTGAAATCACAACACCGATTCAAACAGTCCCTATGGGTGATCCAACTAACATTACTCTGTCTCCAATGGTCGCACTGACATGCCTGACATCCTTTTGTTTGACCTACGCAATCTGGTTCAAGACCAACACCCATGGTTACAGGGCTTTATAGTGGTAATACACCTGGGGTGCCCATTCCGTCATCAAGTGCCTTATCATTAGATGCCACTTCTACCACAACAATGAGGGTATTTGGGTTGGAATGGTTTACAATTAGAAACATGAGATAAGAGACGGATTGAACCGATTTGAATTACGACAAAAATTTGAGTATAAGGTCACAAGGTCTAGTAACCGTTTTGAGGCCGTTTGCAAAATAATTGTAAATGGCGTGTGGTTGCACTTAGGATGAAATTGACCAATATTTTTGAGATTAGAAAGAGCAAAAGCCAGCATATTTATGCTAGAGATCAACTACTCACTAATCATAGCAATGGTTCTACTAGAATAGTTAGGTTATATGTACTGCCTAAGTTTGATAAGGTCAGAAGGAACCACGGTATATATAAGATGATGTGCTCGAAGAATTGAAGTTAAGTATACCCTACAACAAAGTGTGGTGAGCAAAAGAGTAGGCATTGAATTGTCTGAGAGGAACACATGAGAATTCTCTTGCCAAACTACCTTCATATTATCATATGCTTGAGTGAACTAATCTCGGGACGGTGATTGGTATTATTGTCGATGGGGTAACCGGTTTCAAATGTTCTTCATGGCACTTGGGGCTGCTATCAGAGGATTACGATACATAAGACTTATCATTGTGATTGATGCCGCACATTTGAAAGGAAAGCACATGGGTCAGTTGTTTATGTTGACATGCAAGAATGAGAACGAGAAAATATTTCCTTTGGCATTTGGGTTGGTAATGGACAAACAGATGCGACATGATAGCGGTTCTTGTGGAAACTTAAAGGTGTTATTGAGGAAGTTGAAGTACTTGTGATATTGACCA